ATCAATCCGAACCTGAGTAGCCCGTACCGTGCCGAAGTCGTGCCCATACTGAACCTGAAACATGTCGATGTCGAACCCATGCAGCTCTCCCGTGATAGTTTCAAGCCTGTCCCGAACCTCATGTCCGAACCAGAGCAGCGGCCACAGTGACATGATGACGACGAGCGGTTCGACCGAAGTAACACAACTGCAACACTACGGCAGCCATCTAATCCCACACTCATAGCACACACGCTCATAGCACACGGGTCACGGTGAGGCTAGGAATCGAGAAGATCAGGTAGGTCATGCGAGCAATCTCAATCATCGCAAAATAGTGAAGATCGCCAAACACAGAGTAAATAAATAATCCGGGGGTAATTCCGATCGCGAATAAATTGAGCAAAATTTCGTTAATCATTTAATAATCATAATTTTTGTTCCTTCTCATCATTTTTACTTATTTATCTTATTTCTTAATTCCATTATAAAAAATAACGATAATAAAAGCAATTCCGTCAAAAATAAATTTTGATGGAATTCAATTAAATAATGAAAATTCTTTGTTTTCTTTTTCTTATTTTTAACTCTATTATCAGAAATATCAATAATTGAGGGCGATCCCATTGAAAATTAAATGCCGAAGAATTTAATTAAATAAAAAAATATTCCGTTTTTTTTTTCCCTTCTGTTGTTTTAATTTTTTTCCCCATTTTCATTTTCAATATTAAAATTAGCGATATTCTAGGGTCCTTCCCCGCTCTAGTTGCGCACTGTAGAAGGGTCGCGCCTAGACCTACTCTCATATTGCCTTTTCGGGGCTAGCCATTTCGGAAACAGGCTTGGGGTGGGCGGAAATAAGGTAGACTCCAGGGTGGCGGAACAGGTAGTCCCTCTTGCCAACTTTGAGCGTTAGTCTTAGCGGTCGCTACATCCAATTTTAGGGGTGCTCGGGGTACCCTTAATTTCATCCAACAGTTCAGCCGGAAGTCCCAACGATTCTCTTCTGGGCAATTATCTTAAGGGTCAATCAGCCGAAACTAGGGTGGCCGACTGGCCTTCGGCCGCCCGACAGCGAATACCTATACTACTGCGCGTGAGCAAACGCCCTCGACAGACCCACCTCTGCGATTGCATGTAAAAACTTTCGCACGTGGGTCAGTAGCTCGGTGGGGATACGCATCTAAGGGTGGTGACATCCCCTTAGGGAAAAAAAATTTATGCCCCGCGGGAACCTATCCTGTCGTAGGGGACCACGGGATGTACAGCTGGCGCACCCAGCTAAAGCGGCGAAAGGACGACGCGACCACGGCCATCTCGGCGACTCGTAGATTTATTTATGTGTCATCCTCAAGTTGTCTCTCTATGTTTATGTTATGTTTTGTTTCTCTTGCGTGACATGGTCGGGAAGGCTCCCGCTCCTTTGCAAGAGAAAGGTGGGTGCCGATGCGCTCGAAAGGTGACGTCGTTGTCGGGGATCGAACCCCGGTCTCCTGTGTGAATGGATACTAAGTTGATGACGTGACACATTGAATGCATACTACTGGCGTGGCACATCGAGTACAAGTTGATGACGTGGGAGAGATACAGAGCCTGAAGGAGAAGAGGGATTTATATTTCTCTTTCCAACTGTCTATTCTTCCTTCCTCTTTTTTTTTTGTTAATATGGACTTGAGACATACCCGTGGTCATGAGGGAACCTGTACTTCAATGACTTTGAACCGATGAAATTATTGAATTGATTAGCTCATGGCATTGAACGACATTGTTATCTGCGATATGATTGGAGGACGAGACTGGGTTGATTACAGTTTAGTATCAGAGCGAACTCACCTCATCTCGCTGAATTGCTGCTTGATTGAAAACGACCGCGAGATAGAAGTTGAATATATCTCTCTGATAGAGTGTCGACGTGACACTTGCAAAGTGGTAATGACCATATGCTTGTATCCATGTGACACTCATTGGCTGGTTCTCGCAAGGGAATAAATCGCTAAACTAGTTTGTCTCTGAAGCAGGTACTGACGTGGCAAAGGCGGAGTGAATCTCTCCATAGGCCTGTGTTGACGTGACACTCACTGGTTGGTTCCTGCGAAGGAATAAATCGCCAGTAGAAGCTGCACTGATTGAAGAGCGCTGAAGAAGACAACTAAGTGTTGGCGTGGCATACTGGCGATGACATTGCCTACGTGGCATATTGATGAGAGCATTGCCTACGTTGCAAATTGGCGGTAGCATTGCGTACGTGGTATATTGACGAGAGCATTGCCTATATGACCTACTGCGTGGCATACTTGAGAGAACATTGTCCGCATGACATACCGGTGATAGCGTTGCCTACGTGGCATACTGAAAAGAGAAACATTGCGTTTGTTGAAGGTAGGCTGGCGAGAAATCAGATGAACAAGGAGATGATGTATGCTGATATGATCGGGCTCTTTGATTAACCCTGATCTGGAGTTACCTCGTTGTTGTGTTGATTGATGTTGATGTGGACTTACCTGTGCGGTTTTTGATGTAGTATGGCTTGTGCACTGCCTGTTGATGATTCCTGATCACACGGCTAGAAAAAACTTACACACATTGTAAACAACATCACAAGCAGCAAATCACATTAAAAAGAAAAGTAGATTAAGACATTGATAATTATTATTGAATTTAAGTCTTTTTTTTTTTTTTTTTCCTGAATTCTTGACGAGACTAAAGAACAGATAATTGTATAGTCTGATTGTGCAGTATACCCAAAGATGGTTTTCTTGTGGAGCAGCCTGCAGTTTTCAGGGTTGACAAAGTTCAGTGTCTCGTTTCTCTACCCGGTCTCACTGACGCTGTACACAAATGAAGAATTGCATACATGCGTACAAGTGAACGTCTGCAAGGACTAATAAAAATTAAAATTGCAGCAAACCCTGACTCAAATTCATGAGGGTCGCCCAGATGCGTAAACGAATATCTAGAGTTAGTTTGATCTGCACAATTTCAGGGAATAGTTGGACCAGGCTACGAAGAGAGTTGATCTTTTTTGTGTGGCGGGAGAAATGAACCTGGTCTTAGCCAGGGCCCGTCAAAGTCTGGACCAATTTGTCGTTGAAATGTTGACCATAAATGTTCAGCAAGTTACAAAGAATACAAAGGAAAAGAAGGAGAAACAAATGAGGAAACCAGACAGGAACTAAATAAGGATGTAGTTGACCAATCAAAAGAAGCATTGCAAGCAGAAACGAAGAGGAAACAAATCATCAAAGAAAGAAGAAAGACGGAGAAAAAAAAAAGTTGAATAAAATTCGAAATAGAGTAAAATTGGAAGAAAGAAGTGATATTGCGACTCTCATTCAGAATATGATATCGTATCTGGTTCATTTGGAAATGAAGCTAGATCAGACCATAGCTGATACGAATCTTTTTTCTACCCAGTTGGCAACATTGACCAACGCGGTCAAACAAAAACAACTGATAATCATAAAATGATAAAAAAAGGTTGAGGAAGAACTAAAGTATGAACCAGAAAAAAAATTAATGGAATATGCAATGAAGACTCCCCCCAAAGTAGAAACCCCGAAGAAAGAGGTACGAAGATAGAAGGTAAAAATAAAACTTTCCTTCACATACAACCGTAAGAAAAGAGAAAATCTGTTGTTGAGGATTGTTGAAATACAAACGTATTGCTTGACGACCCCGGTAGACGAAGATAGTCATGTGGCGTTCACCACCTTATGTCTTGGCGAAGACGCCAAGGCATGGGTACTATCTGAAGCGAATGCCGCCAGATTTGAGTTTATTGGGGATCGGGCAAAAACGCTGACGTTGAGAAAAACGGTGTTTTCGTTAAAAGTGAAATTTTTTTCATGTTCACTTTTTATTTTTATAAAATGACACAAAGAACTGAGGAAAAAATAAGCAAAAAACGAGAAAACAATAGCTATACATGAAAGCTGCTGAAGGAAATAAAACAGAAATTTTCACCTCGAATGTTCACACGTACACAAGCATTGTCGAAATGTCAATTCACTTAGTAAACATGTCATTCAGTAAAACATGCTAACCTCATCAATAACTGATGAAAAGTTATAGGAAATGTCATTATACAACATATTTTCGAAATTGCTTACAATACACATTTTCACTAGGAATGTTCACACTCAGTAAACATATCAACCTCATTTTTCCAAACCTAGAACCTGAAATTCTCATTGACTTTCCTATCTAACCATGGACAAAATGTTAAATGTTATTCTAAGTCTCATATCAGGATTACTATTTTGTGAGAAACCGAATGGAGGGAAGTGACCGTTTGCAAGCAAAGATGCAAAACCTAATTCAGGAACAGCACAACTACAAGGATCCTCTTAAGCAGGAATCCCATCTACTGATGTATCAAAGTAGGATGTAGGCTCCTCCACATGATATTTTTCCTGAAGATTTTATCGACGAAACTCCGCTCTGAAAAAACCTGCCAAAAGTTCAAGGACTGGACCGTAGTCAACACGATGGAGAGAGTCTACAAGGCGGAATTTACACTCAGAGCGATTTATACTGACATAAGCTAAGGCCCAATGATTTCCGACATGGAAAGGGATAATTACTTAATCAAAATCGAAAAGATTTATGTCCTTCACCCATCTCGTCCCTTCGGAGTGTGCGATTTTAGTGGACTGAGCCTTTGACAATCTAGGAAAGAAAAAAGAATTTAGAATATGCACAGATGGAATGTTAGGGTTGGCTGAGGCTGTCGTACTAAAGTGGACAGCGAATATGCCCTACGCAGGGGATGAGGTGGTGTATGTATGTGTGAGATTTCGAGATAGCAAGGACTTCTTGCTACCCACGACACCTTTGAGGGTTGTGATCCCTGACGACATAGTGGAAGTCAAATTTGGAAGTCAGGAAAGGGTGCAAAGTGCAGCGGGAGTCGCGATGATCCTGCGAAATTTGGGGTATGAAAGGTACGCTTGTGAGGTGGTTTACAGCCTGTACCTGGAGCTATGATCTACGCTTAAGGAAAGTGAGTCGGTGAGGGTGGTACAAGATGTCATAAACTACCTTTCCCTTTACGGGTCAGATGATGGACCGGATTGGTGGAACCACCTTCGGTACGAGGTAAATGCGAGGTAGGACCTGGGGAAACCCAGTCCTGCTTAGACCCTTCCTGTGTAAATAGATATTGTCGGTAAGAAACAGATGGGATAGGGAAGGGTGATTTGGTTTGAATCTGTATACTTGTGGTTGTGTTGGCAGGAAGGCGATCGAAAGGCAAAGAAGATGGTGGACGAGGTGGTTAAAAGTGTTAAGGATGGAAGTTCGACGGTTCAGCAGCCAATTACGGTTGGCCAGCTGGTGACATTGTTGGAAGGTCGGGAGGTAAAACGGTCCAACATCCCTAAGGTCCAAATTTTTCATTTCAAAGGAGATAAAGTGTCAGAATGGTTGGAATTGCTTGAACAGATCACTGACGAAATGCCTGACGCGGAAAAGTTTCGTCAGGTACCGAAGTATGTTTGGTGGGAGATGCGGCCAGAGGTGATGCGAGTGGCCAGTGAGGCTAATGACAACTGGGCTAATTTCAAGGTTGAAATGCAAAGGCGGTACCGGTTGGGGGATGGACTCCTCACGGTGGAGGACCTGGAAAGGTTGGAGCGGTCAGACTTCACGACAATAGGAGCCTTTGCAACCGCTTTTGAAAAATTTGCGAGGAAAGTCCCAGGATTGGCAGAAGAGACCCAGTGCGCGATATTCCTAAGCAGTTTCACTGAGTGTGAACGGGTGTCGCTCACCAGGAAGGGAGTTGTGGGGCGAAAGCTAACTTGGGAAACCATCACACAAAGTTTGGCTGATGGGGAGTTGGATCAAGTATACCAGTTTCAAATGAAACAGCAACGCCAGAAGCGGAAGGCTAGGGCTGCCGCTGAAACAGCTGGAATTAATCTCCAGCAACTTATTACGGATGGGATAGCACAGTATCAGGCTACACAGCAAAAACCGGTAGGAAAGAAGGTGATGGTGGTCACTCAGCCGGCGACAAAGACGACGAAGAAAGGAAAAACAGTGGAGCAGGTGGAAGAAGAGGATGAGGAGGAGGAAGAAGAGGAGCCGGTGAAATTGACGAAAAATCAGCGAAAGGCTAGGAACCAGGCCATGGGCGGTCAAGGGACAGGAAAAGGAGTACAAACTTCGACGCCGGCTCAGGCGAATGCTAATCAAGTAAGCGCAGTAGGAGTTCCGCCGCAAGCACAGGCTTCGCCACCACAATGGCCAGAAGTTTTCCCCACGGTCTGGCCAGGATTCAATCCCTGTATTTCATGGCCAGATTTCGCCCAGCAGGGACAGTTTACAGGAGGATTCATGCCTCAATCCATAGGAGGGTGCGCGAACGCTTCAAGCCAAGGAGGAGAACAGCAGCAGCAGCAGGCAGCCGCGCCTAAGAATAGCCAACCTAATCAAGGGGCTGGTCAAGGACAAGGCCAGCAGCAAGGAGGAAATGGACAGGGTGGCCAAGGGCGAGGAGGAGGAGGTCGTGGTCGTGGGTTTGGCAATGGTGGTCAAGGACGAAGAGGTGGAGGTTGGAATGGGCAAGGAGGAGGCGATAGGCCTCGGTTTGATTGGAGGAATGCCACTTGCCACCATTGTACGCAGAAAGGACATACTTTGAAGTTTTGCCAAATCCGAAAGATGGACGAGGAAGAGAGATTGATATCTTCGAACTTGGATGGAGACATCTATGACAAATTCGAAGAGTATATAGATCCCAAGGTTCCAGGCGGCATTCGAAAGGAGGCGCTCCGACGTGCTAATCAACAGCCTGCTCCTCCTGCTATGTCCAGACTATGTCTGGAAGAGGAGGTGGATAAATGAAACGACGAGGTGGATGTTGGAGTAAGAACGGCAGGAGATAATAGTGAGAAGGGAGGTGTGGTAGAGCGAGGGAAGGATGAAGAAAACTGTCAGGAGACAGTGGGAGAGACTATGCGGCACATGGAAAGCCTCTTGGGGGAAATGCAGAGGCTAAACTCGGAACTGAGGACAATTTGTGATGAGATAAGTAAACCAATGGTTTACTTGTTGGGACCGTAAACAGGGTCATCAGGTGCTAAGCCAGCATGCGGAACTTTGGGTTCTACTTCGCGGTCTGGGACTACATTCCGGCCTCCTCGAGGGCAATTGAGGGCACCACAAGCTATGCAAACAAGGACCAAGAAGGGTAATCCTGCCAATGAGGCAGAACCATCGAATAAGGGCGAGCCGCGAGAGAAAGGGCCAGTCACTGAGGTGGATACAGAAAATGGGAATGATAATGAGGATGAGCGATTAAGGAAGGAAAAGGAAGAGCAAGCTGCTGAGCGTGCCAAGAAAAGGAAGGCTGAGGAGCGGCCGGAGATGGTAGCAAAATGAGAGACTTCTCGCAAGCAAAGGTATGCGGTACCTTTGGAGGAAGGATTGGATATTGAGGGTATGGTGGACAGGCTCCTTAAGGGTCATAATGAGTGGTTGAACCTGAAGGACATCCTTGTGTCAGCGCCAAAGCTCCATGAGGAATTCAAGGCTAGACTTTCCCGGCGACGAGTAGCAAGTGTGAGGCGTGGTAATCTTATCCCAGCTGAAGCCCATTGGGCGACTCCTGGAACTAAGATGGATTGGAAATCAGTCGCGACCGGGAGCGTGAACCTGGTCATAAAGGGGAAGTCGTGCAATGGGATGCTGGACACGGGAGCAGAAATGAATATCATTAAGGAAGCAGATGCGCTTCGACTAGGACTAGATATAGACAGGGAAGACATGGGTTTCCTATATGGCGCGAGTGGACGGACACCCTTCATCGGGACAGCCGCGAATGTCGTTGTGGAAGTGGGGAAGGTGAAGGTAAGGTCCTGCTTTTATGTCATGCCAAATTTGGACCATCCTCTGTTGCTAGGAAGGTCATTCCTTTGCCGAACAGAGTCAGTGATTTTAAATAAGCATGACGACACTATTTACGTCATACTGAGTGATCCGGTTTGCGGCAACTACGAGATTATTACCTGTCATAATACAAGTCCTCGTGGTATGAGGAACAGGCCTAACCCAGGTTCATTTACCTTCGAGGAGTCCGAGGAAGAAAGGAGGCGGCTCATGGAGAAAGATGAAGTGGAGAGTGAGCCATATGGTGAGATGTCGCTGAGCTTGACAAGTATCAACGACGCAATGGAGATAGTCTCAGCGTATGGAATGGCGGATCCTGTGGCGGTACAGGCGCTGAAGGAAAGGGTTGCGGATGGCGAAGGTGAAGTGGAATTGGTGTATCGATTACCAATGAAGGAAGGAGATATGGAAGAATCTCAAGGCCATGTTGCGAGTCACCCTTTTTAAGGGGTGGACTCAAACAAGGCTCTCGAAGGCGGTACAAACGTGTAAGCGAGAAGTGCCGACCTGTTTCAGTGCTTATAACGGCGGAGGAGGAGTTCTATTATGAGCAGGAACGGGAGCTGATACGGCAAATGAAGGAGGATGCGGAACGAGGGCCGTGCCGTATCAATGAGTAAACGGAGGAAGACTTGATAATAGGCGAGCCAGGTTTTCTGTCTCCAGAGGAAAGAGCCTTGATGATAGCCACTATGAAGGAGCGGCATCGCGCGTATGCGTTCAATGATGATGAGCGAGGGCGCCTCGATGTGGATAAAGTCCCTATGATCAGGATCCATACGGTGCCCCATGTGCCATGGAACTTGCGAGGAGCGTGTTATCCTAATCCCGCGGATGAGCGCAGGGTGGTCAACTATATTGACGATAAGATTAATACGTACGTAGCTGACTATTCGAGCAGACCTTATGCTTCACCTTGGTTTTGCTTTATTAAACCAAATGGCACATTGAGGTGGGTACAAAATTTGCAGCGCTTGAATTCAGTGACGATACGCGACGCAGGAGGTTTACCAAATGCGGATGCACTATCAGAGTCCTGCGCAGGCAGACCAATTATTAGCCTGATAGATTTGTACTCAGGCTATGATCAATTTCCAGTATACCCACCAGACAGGCCTATGACGGCGATGCATACGCCAAGGGGGTTGATTCATATAAATGTGGCGCCGCAGGGATGGACTAACGCAGTGGCAATGGTGCAGAGGCATATGGTGCGTGTTACAGAAAAGATTAATCCACATATCACGCAGCCGTATATTGATGATCTCGTCGTGAAGGGGCCGAAGAAAAAGGATGAGACGGAGGTCATGCCCGGAGTAAGGAGGTTTGTCTGGAACCATATACAGGATGTTGTCTGGGTTCTTGACACTCTGAAGGATTCTAATATCACGGTTAGTGGGGCAAAGTCAAAACATTGTATGCGCGAGGCGACCATTTTAGGTTTTGTATGTAGTGAGAGTGGTCGCCGACCGGATACTATGAAGACTAACAAGATACTTGAATGGTCGACGTCATTCAGATCTGTTAGTGAGGCTAGAAGCTTCCTGGGGACGTGCGGGTTCTGGCGAGCCTTTATCAGAGACTTCGCAGGGAAAACTAAGCAGTTGCGGAAGCTTGTGCGCCAGGATCAGGAATGAGAGTGGGATGAGAAGCAAGAAAAGGTAGTGGATGGACTAAAGGAGGAATTTAAAGATGGAGGTTTGGTGCTCGGTGTACCAGATTTTGAAGCAACTTTTACTCGTCCTTTCATTGTGTAGACGGATGCAGGGCCAACAGCTTTGGGAGGTGTGCTCATACAGGCTGACGTCAATGGCGAGGAGAGGCCGCTGAGGTTCGAGAGCCGGACTTTGAATAACGCCGAAAGGAACTATTCACAGTTCAAGCGTGAGACGCTTGCGGCCCTCCACTGCCTGAGGATATTTCGCAATTATCTCTTTGGCAGGAGATTCATATTGAGAGTGGATCCGACTGCATTGGCAGGATCATTGAAAAATTATGCCCCGTCAGACCCTACTATCGCTAGGTGGCTCACATACATATGGATGTTTGATTTTGAGTTGGAGCGCATTCCATGGGATAGAAATCGGGTTGACGGCCTAAGCCGCATAGACTGGGATAAGAGTGAAGGAGAGGCCAAGGAGGGCACGCCTCCGGTTGATGCATTCCTCGATGAAGAAGAGGATGTAAGGCTCCATATTAATGCATGTGCGGTTGGAATAAGTGAAGTAGTAAGACAAGAGGAATCGACTTTTTTTGCCCCAGCAGGCTATGTGAAGCGACCAGAGATAGTCCTCAAAACTTTTGAGGAGGAAGCTCCATGGGGAGGTAAAAATGTGGAATGGATGAAAAAACTCGCTCTGGCAGAAACATATCGACTATCTGAAGAATGATTGACTATTGAAGAAGGAATTCATGCGATTGAGGCGCATGCTATGCATGAGGCGGATGCCAATTTCCTTGTTAATTCGATACTGCAAGTGCAGGAGAGTGTGAGTAGAAGTCAGGATCCTGTAAAGGATATGGAAGAGGACGAGTTTGAGGAAGGAGAAATAACAGAAGCGTTTCGTGCAGAGGAATATGATAGTGTGTATCGGGAATTAGGGTTGCTTCTCTCGTGTGAGATCAGGGAGAGAGAGGCTTCCCTAAGGGTGCATGAGATGCGGTCGCGATTTGTAGTGCGTGATGAACACCTCTTTATCAAAAACGAGGTTAGAAATCCAAGGCGAGTGATTTGTGGGAGACATCGTCAGATCGATATGATAGCAGCACTGCACGATGGACTTGCTGGAGGCCATAGAGCTTTTGCACTTACTTATGCTAAGGCGCGCGAGCTTTACTACTGGGAAGGTATGAGCGAGATGATTCGTAAGTATTGCGAGTCGTGTGTTCCATGCCAGATCAGAGCCTCAACTAAGTATAAGGAGCCTCTACATCCGAGGATTGAGCGAGATGCGGGGGCAGTGGTCTATTTGGACCTACTGGCCATGCCACCGGGAGTGGGAGGCTATAATTACATTTTCGACGCTCGCGATAATCTCACAGGTTTTGTGGATGGAAGGGTCATCCGCAATAAGACAGGTGAGACTCTGGCTATATGCATCATGGAATACTTTCTTAGATATCCCTTTGTCATGGAGTTTGTGATGGACAGAGGTTCCGAGTTCACCTGTGGAGAGGTAAAGGACTTGCTGCGGGGATATGGTGTGAAGGCAAGCTATACGACGAGGGCTCATCCACAGGCGAATGCTCCGGTGGAAAGGGGACATACCACCCTTACAAGCTTATTGGCAAAGTGGACGGATGGTAAAGAAAATCAGTGGCCTAAGCATCTGCGTGCAGCCTTCTTCGTAGAAAATATTACAATCAAGAGGTCCACGAAGTATGCCCCAGCGTCTTTATGGTATAGAAGGCACGCTACGCTTCCTATAGAGAGCTTTCTGACGACGTGGAGGCGGCAGGGTATGGAGACCAACTTGACCTTCGAAGAATTGCTGGATCTGCGGGCAAGGCAGGTTGGCATTGCTGAAGAGAAAATTCAGGAAGTCGCGGATGGAGTGATGGACAGTCGTATGAAGGACAAGGAGAGGTGGGACCGCCTTCCACGAGTCAGAAAGGAGCCACTCGAAGTGGGAGACGTAGTGTTGCTGTATGAATCGTCTCTGGAGAAACAATGGCCGCGTAAATTGGACAAGCGATGGTTAGGTCCTTACCATATTCGACGGTGTGGACAACATGGGGCGTATGAGATCGAAGAGCTAGATGGCGCGCCATGGAGTGATTGGGTTTCGCGTTCGAAGCTGAAAAAGTTTGTGGCGCGGGATTGAGGTGTGTTGGAAAGTGCCTTAGATGAGTTTTCTTATGATTTGGTTGAGTCCATGACGTGGTAGGGTGGCATATTAGTTTAGTTTGGACTAGGTCTCGGCTTAAGAGTCTTAGGTTTTAGTGAGTAGGTCAGATATATAAGGGTCTATCTATACTCATTCTATTTTGCTCCTGTCATTCATCCTTATGTGTGCAGGGACAACTTTTTGAAGTTGGCCATAGCCAGTGAGGCGGCAGGATGGCGGGACATGGAGAGCAGCGGACAGCCACTTCAGCGATCCTGGATCCATTTTGCTACTATGGTGGACATGTTTTTCCATTTCTGGATGGATTGGTTAAACAAGCCTGGGCCCTCAGATTAGATTTCTCCCAGTTGATGGAGCGAGTTAGGGGTACAGGTAGGTATGTGGAATGCGTGGCTCGGATTACGAGAGACTCTTTGGATTGGCGTCAGTTCGCCAGGAGGATGCTGAGGTTGAGACCCCAGCCTTTGGATCGACGGGGTAGGCCCATGCGTTTCGACGGGGCCAACCTGGACGAGTTTCTTGAGAGTTTTACCATCTTAGCCAGTGAGCAGAGATGGGACTGAGGTGCAGGGTATCCGACAAATTTTGCATTGGGTTATTCCTGAGCTCAGACACGAGGTGAGTGCGTTCATACCCTCCATATTGTCCTGAAGGGGGCTTGAGGCAACACTTAGAGGAGCATTTCCAGCTAGTAGGAGGCGCAGTTTGTATAGGGGAGATCGAGATTATATCGTAGAGCTCAGGATATGGGTTGGGGAGCGACAGCGGGATCGGAGGCAGGGTGGGAGAAGAGCAACATGATATCCCACGTGTGCATCATATGGAGAGAGGAGCGGATTATGGTGAGACAGCTATAGAGGCTGCTCATGAGGAGAGAGTCAGTGTCGTTGAGAGGCCATCTGAGGCTACGACAGGAGGAGAGGAGGCTATATTACCTACGAGTGAGTGGCATGACGGCTCGCCGGCGCCGAGTGTGGAGGTAGTGCGAGAGCTCGAGGCAGAGAGAGCTGGTCAGGAGGAGACTCAGAGAGTGGAGGAGATTGTTCAGCCAGATGAGACGGCGGTGGCCCCAGACATGGGAGCGGATACGTTGGGAGGTTCGCTATCTCAGCAAGAGAGTGTGTCCCGAGCATCATCAGGAAATAGGGGAGATCGACCGCTGAGGTGGAGAGACGCCCATGGTGTGATAGATGGGCTACCAGCGATTGAGGTGTGGTCTACGGATGAGCCGGTCACTACATCAGTAGGGCAAGAGCAGCAGGGGGAGGTTGAGACATTGTTATCGCTAGGGGAGCTGCCTGTGTTGGAGGAGGCTCAGACGGGTGAGGAGCCGCAGAGATCAGAGGATTCCCTGACTACCCTACTATATACTATTGAGTCCCCTAGCCTGTTGATGCAGCAGGAAGAGTCCCAATTGGCGGACGGAGAGAGAGAGACGCAGCGTATAGAAGATGAGGTGCTGAGGATAGACCCGGGGGCCCACATGGATGATCTCCACGCAGACGGCTTGGTGTCGTCACCGCTAGTCTTCGATGAGACTCCTCGTCGAGATGACGAGAGAGAGGGAGGCAGTATGGGTGCTCATGCCGGGACAGATATGAGGTCTACTCAGGATGAGCCGGAGACCCAGAGAGGGGAGCCCTCAACTGAGACACAGAGGGTAGAGGAGCGTGAGCAGGCTGGAGGAGACACATGGTTAGCTGAGGAGATGAGGAGGATGCCGCCATTACGTTTCCCTAGCTGGGAGGCTTTTGAGCAGGTAGGCCAGGCTGCTAGGCCGGTTTTATCTGAGGATCAGAGGATTGGAGGACTTAGAGTGCTCCATGATGACCTCACACTGCAGAGGGACTACATCGCCAGAGGCCTTACTGCAGCACGCCAGACGACTGAGGATATGAGAGACTATGCTCGGAGAGTCGCTACTAGGTCCTTTGAGTTGTGCAGTGAAAGACAGGAGGAGCACGAAGTTTTGGGAGCATTGGTGGAGGACATCCGTTCTTTGGTAGAGAGGAGAGAAGTTCAGACTTTAGAGGAGGCTGAGGCGGTGTTGCGTATCCAAGCAAGGGAAGAAAGTGACTGGAGGGCACAGGTACAGAGGGTGCTTAAAGAGTATGAGCCTCCCGCAGACGCATCAGACAGGGATCGTTTGGAGCGCAGAGCCGTCCTCGAGACCGTGCGTGCCTCTCAGTTGGAGAGCCAGATATCAACCCTGGTCAGGCTGAGGAGAGAGACGGAGGAGCGGACAATGCAGTTGTTCTACGAGGATGCTACGACAGCCGGATGGCAGGAGGAGGTCAGACTGCGACGACAGACGGGAGCAGAGCCCATGCCGACAGAGGAGCAAGAGAGGGCAGAGGCCGGACTCCAGGCGAGGTTGTTATCCGAGGCATCTGTGAGAGAGTTGGCGGAGGTCATGCAGCATGTCAGGCGTTTGTCTCGATCAGAGGTCGAGCGGGGTGAGACGCTGCAGGACGTAGTGCGGAGGATGGACGCGTTGGAGAGAGAGAACAGGGGGTTGAGAGATACGGTTCAGGGCCTCAGCCTGAGCATGGAGAGTTTGAGGCGACTGACGTTGCACGTCGAGCAGAGGGTTCTGAGTTTTGAGCAGGGGCAGAGGACTCGCGTGCCGACAGGGCCGGTTGGTGAGAGAGCTTCAGGGGGATCATATTCTACTACAGAGCGGATGCGAGTTTTTCGGGAGACGGAGCCATGGACCTTGGGTTTGGGAGTCACCAGACAAGACAGTTGGGCAGAAGGATCTATGGGAGTTAGACCGGCATCAGAGGGAGAGACTAGCACTGTGGACAAGTTTATGCTTGCCATATGTGAGGTAGCACCCGTGGGACAGGGGCAGGTGCGTACTATGGACCAGACTCCCCCTGTAGAGTTGGGAATACGAGAGGGAGTTGTGGAGCCCCGAGATGGCATACTTCGAGACGGCGCGCAGGATCCATATGTGACACCATTCGGGACCTTGCCCACCGCCGCATCTCCGAGCCCTGACGTGATGGAGGAGGTGGCTCGCGGACTTGCTCAGAGGTCTGCCGCATAGGTTGGGGGGAGATTCACTGAAGGATCGGCGAGGGTGTCGAGTCCTGATGTGGTGGACAGAGCTATACAGGAGGTGACTACCAGATTGGAGAGCAATCAGACCCAGGCCTCACCCGCGCCCAAGATGGCGAAGGTTGGGGAAGAGAGCGCGCGTGACAAATGTTCATGGTGTGGCAGGGGAGGACATCATAGGGGAGACTGCCCTGCTTTTCAGCATGATCTTGATAGAGGGATTGTGCAGTTTGATACACAGGGACGCCTTAGGGACATGCACCACACCCGCATCCGACAGGGACGCCATGATATGAAGGTGGCAGTATATAGGAACCTGGGTTTGACGTTGAGGGAGGATGAGTGACATCAGATTTTCCTCGACTTTGACTTCTGATCCTGGGCATAAGGATTTGAGAGGGTGGTGCGATCTTGTTATGGGTTTTGTGGTGGTTACCTACGACATGTTTTTGATTCAGTTGTGAGTTAGTATGGGTTGCCTGGATAGAGATATATCCTGACAGTGTACTATTTAGGTGATAGGCCCTGGAGGAGGTGAGGATTTACAGTTTCTTGAGTCTATGATACGCCTGAGGACCAGACACAGACTAGTGTACATATGGGGGAGACTTCGTGTGGTTTGAGTAGTGAGAGTGTGAGCTTATGATACAGTGAGTTGGTAGTATGAGGATCCAGGATGTGAGAGTGACTTGGGGGTGGGTCCTGACGACCAGAGACTATTCTTATGATCGGGAGTTTTTGTTTTTCTATGAGAGGGTACGTTTGAGTGTATTTGAGATCTTTTTCTTCGAGTTGTTTCTCTCTTAAGACTCAAAGCGTGCTATGTTTGGGTTTGGATTTTTGAGGACTCTCAGGGAAACATTTGTTGATCCAGACTTTGGCACGAAGGATGTTTCATGTACATATATTTTCTATAGGTATCACGTTTACGATGCCACTTTCTTTGTCTATCTCTGATTGAGGATGTCTCATCTTTAAGTCTGGATCGTGATGTGAGATCTCGTGTGGAACCAGGAAGCCAATAAACATTTCTCACACCAAGTGTGAATCTTACTCACTCTTGTGTTTATGGTCATTCTTGTATTTGGTTGTCAAATGCATTGAGATTGTTTGACTAACGGATACGTTTATCTGCGCTTTGCTATGGAAAGGCTGAACCGATATGGCAGCCTAAGAAATGTGGATATTAGGATGGGGACCCATAGAGGAGTCACCCATGGAGGTGTTTATTTGGATGGGGGTCCACAAAGGAGCCACCCATAGTTTATTTGGATGGGGGCCCGCAGAGGAGTCACCCATAGTTTATTTGGATGGGGGCCCGCAGAGGAGTCACCCATGTGTTTTGTGAGGCGGGGGCCCAATGATGAGTGGTCCGCGTGATTTGAAGGAAGATTGTTTGATGAGATAAAGTGAGACGCAATGAAAGTCGTGATGATTTCAGTTTGTTTTGAAGAAAACTGCCAAAGGATAACCAAGCTTATGAGATTATTTGCATATGTGGTGAAAAGTTTCCTCAAGAAGAAGGGTAACTTGGTTGTGAGGCTCTAGGACCCGCAGCCATTTCTGTCGTGATCAAACAGTGTGACTGCAAGCTAAGGGCTGGTCCTAGGGTATATGAGAGGCCTAAGCCGGGGCCTAATCCGGTATCATTGGGCTAACCCAGTGAAAGGCTACTATCCCGCGCAACCAGGACAACGAACCTCTAGCCTAGCCTGAACTTGGAGCCTGGAAGGGTGGCCCACACTTTGTCATCATTTTATTTTATAGTAAGGGGATTATTATTATTATTATTATTATTATTATTATTACTGTTTACTACTATCATTATGGGTGGACTATATACTAAGCCGATTATGGGTCATTCAAAATGGCTCTAACTAGGGTGATGACTAGAGGGTACTTAGGTTCAAAGATAGGAGTCGCCTTAGCATTGCGAAAGCAATGTAGGCAACATCGTAGTCTAAAGATGCAATGAACCATGACTTGGTCTGATCAGCCGAGACATGGTGAGCCTAGGTCAAGACTATATCCTTACCTGTGACTAGACGCCGGGGAAAGGTTGATTGTGATCCTAAGATTGTGAGGAGTGGGCTGAGTGCAGCACTGAGACAGTTGTGAAAAAGTGAGCTACTCAGTGAGGGTAGACCTTTGAGTGGTAGGCCACCCAGGGGAGTATGCTATTGATATGAGATTCATTACAGGATTGGGCCACCTGGGGGAGTACACTTTTAATTTGCTTAAGGTACTCAAGAGGGGTTGGCAATCTGCATCAGTTTGTGTTGCAAAGTGATCCCACTCGTAACCATTTGTCTTGCCCAAAGCTCAAGCCTGAAGATGAGAGTTGCTTGCAACTCGAATTCAGAAGGCACCCAACGAAAATCGGAAGGCGTCTAGGGCACGCGGAGGGGCAAGTGTTTGAATATTGGGGCTGACCAATGACGGTAGAACAATGAAAGTATCCCTGTGAGTCAGACAAGAGATGCAGGTTGGAGTCCTGCCCGTCAGAGGGATGTCGCAAGACTAGAATGCTTGGTCAAAAGTTGAGCCCTTCCGATTATACAGATTTGGTTATTCCTTTGGCCAGTCTATGTAATTATTTGGGATTGGCATGTTTCTCCAAGTGCGACAGGGACGTCGCTTAATAGGGTGTGGGTGGATTGTCGTGGCAAACACCCTTACAAGGGTATTTGCCGTTGTTTTGAAAGGTCGCGCTGGGTCCGGCCTTGGCCACAGAAACGCGCCGATAGGACGAGTGCTGACGGTACTCGCGTCTTAGTAATTTGTTGAAGGCGATTTAATTAAGCTAAGTATGCTGAGGTTAGAGAGTGTGTGGGCATACTCTTTCGAGTATGCGACTGTCGTAATTAGCGATTGCGATCGGATTGACGGCCGACACAGAAACCGGCCCCTTTGGGCAAAGATACAAGGCATCGGGGGATTAAAATTTGATAAGCAAGTGTCATATGCGTCTTATGTGCGGGCGCGATAGTTGATTTTGTAAGTAAGACTGGTTATTTTGTTACCAGTATTGAGAAAAGTCAGTTGAACTTCGTTGTCAAATCGATGGAGGCTCAGTGTAAAGTAGTACCCGCAACGACAACGAGTATTAGGAGTAAGGGCCTTAGTACTACCGAGGCAGCTCATTGGGCCATCACTAGTAGGGGCTCCACATACCGAGTGCGAAGATCGCAGCCCTGGGGCCAGCGGCGCAACCGAGTAGGGGGAGGGCCTACTTGAATATGTATGGTAGGCCTACCTGGTGGCGGATACTACTTGAATGAAGTTCCACGCGCGATTGTGTCAGGTTTGGGTTTAGCCCTATTGGTTACGACATTCACCTTCACCAGGGAGATCCGGGGATTGAGGCTAGCAAGCAACGATAGAGTAGAGGAGCGCAATTGGAAGAGACTGAGGGGTTGAGGGTCCTTAGGGACTATCCCCCTTGGTTTTGCCAAACGGGTCTAGTCGGGGTCTAACTGGCGAAACCAAGAGGGCGTCGGCGGGGCCTCGTCGTCGTCGGTTCTACTAATTTTATTTTTGATATGTTTTTACTTATATTTTTTTATTTTTATTTTTCTTCTCTTGAAATCGCGTCTTGAACCAAGCAGGAAAACTGGCTGTGGGACCGACGGTGAAAAGTACCGCAAGGAAGGATGAAAGGAACCTTGAAAGAAAGAAAAGAACGCTTGAAATTGTTGAGCGATGAGCGGATGGAGAGAAGTCGTGTACCCACACCTGGTCGAGGGCAGACGGCGACTTGGTCGCCGCCATCATTGGCCAGTACGGTGGGTGTCTGCCAGCATGGGTTGCTGTGACAGCATTGCATTGGGGAATGATTGGAACTTTCCCCCACGGGTGGCCGTCACGGCAGCCGATGACCTTGAGTACGCGCCTCTTTTAGCAGTAACGTTCGGGGTCCTCCGTACTGACAAAATTCCTTTATCCTACCCGTCTTGAAAGCACAGACCGAAGGGGTCAACGTGCCGGTGAGCCTGTGGGTGCAAAGCCCTCGAAGCAGCCGGATCCCGAGTGGCGGGGATCTTCGGCAGATGCACTGTCCGCTAGCCAGGATCTGCTGCTGGAAGGCTTGAGTGTGAGCAGGCCCGTGGGACCCGAGAAATAGTGAACTGTGCCCGGGCAAGGCAAAGTCTACCAGCCAAGATTTGTTGTAAAGAGGTTTGAGTGTGAACAGGTCTGCGGGATCAGTACCACTGGGCCTAGCTCAATTGGCACACCCGCAGACTGTTGAAAAACAGCTCTGCGGGATCAGTGTTACTGGGCCTGGCTCAGTTGGTACACCCGTAGAGTGCTGAAAACCAGGTAGCGGGATCAGTGCTACTGGGCCTAGCTCAGTTGGTACACCCGCAGACTGCTGGAAAACAAGTCTGTGGGATAAGTGTCACTGAGCCTAGCTCAGTTGGTACACCCCCTGACTGTTGGAAAACAAGTCTGTGGGATAAGTGTCACTGGGCCTAGCTCAGTTGGTACACCCATGAACTGTTGAAACCAGGCCTGTGGGACCAAAGCCACAGGGCCTGGCGCAGTTGGTACACCCGCGGAGTGCTGAAAATAGGCCTGTGGGACCAGCTTCCGTAGGCCAAGCTCAGGTGGTATACCCACGAGCTGCTGAGATACAGGCTGGGGTTCGAATCCAGGTACAATCGAAAAAAGAAAAAAAAAGGGCTACCATCAGGCCTATGACTCGGTTGGTACACCCGTGCACTGTTGAAATACAGACTTGAGTTCGAATTCCAGTGGGAGCAGATGAGTAAAATACTGCAGTCTTGACTACCCAGGCCCGGTACCTGGCCCGGGACCGGTGCTGCATCAACGAGCCTAGCACAATTGGTACACCCCTGAACTGTTGAAATACAGACTCAAGTTTGAGTCCAGATACAATCAGGTGAACATAATAACATAACCCTGAATTACCGGGGACCGGTCCCCTTCTATCCTTCGGGACATCCATTAAAATTCGAATGATACAGAGAAGATTAACATGGACCCTGCGGAAGGATGACATGTATAAATCGAGAAAAGGAGGGTCCAACAATCTCAATAGGTTT